GAAGAACAACATGAACCAGCAGGATCACCCACAGCAAAAGCCAGAGTAGATAGAGACAAGAAGAGAAAGGCAGAGGGCGAACATGAAGATGAAGCCGAGAGAACAAGAGACATCCAGAGCATTGAGATGGCTCTAGAAAGCCTAATCCTAGAAGACAGAGAGAGAGAGAGTGCTATCTAGCATCGACCCAGAGAAACCAGTGTGTGAAGAGAAGATCCCACTGCCAGAAGAAATGGCAGAAGAGGCAAGAGACTGGTGGTACTACGACGACATCAGTGGAAAAGAGCTTCTACCTGAGAAGGTAGAGAAAGCCAGAAAAGATGAAATCGACATTGTCGAATCAATGGGAGTTTGGGAAAAGATCCCAAGAAGCAAAGTTCCAAAAGGAACCAAAATCATTGGAACTCGATGGGTAGATGTGAACAAGCAAGATGAAACCAATCCTCTCTACAGAAGTCGATTGGTAGCGCAAGAGATCAAAAGAGGCTCAGGTTTTGACGAATTTTTCGCAGCCATGCCGAGCCTTGCAGCTTTGAAGCTACTGCTAACCATTGCAGTCAGCGACAGCCTTCCATTGGAGAAAGGCGAAAGAAGAAAAGCAAAGCAATCTTTCCTAGGATTTTTAGATATGAAGAGAGCTCATTTCTACTCCAAAGCAACAAGAGAACTTTATGTTGAAATTCCATCAGAAGGCAAGAAACCAGAAGATGGAGATGTGGTAGGAAGATTGGTCAGAAGCCTTTACGGCACCAGAGACGCACCCATGAATTGGGAGCTGACCATTGCAGAGTTCATGAAGAAGCTAGGATTTGTTCAAGGCAAGTCCAACCCATGCATCTACCACCATGCATCCAGAGAACTTCGAACAGAAGTGCATGGAGACGATTTCACGACAGTTGGAAGTTTTGATGACATCAAATGGTTTCACACTTCAGCAGCCAAAGAATGGCAAGTTGTGGAACGAGGCATTCTCGGTCCACCAGGTTCACCAAAGGCAAGCCAACAGATCAGAGTGCTGAATCGCATCATCACCTGGTCAAATGAAGGCATTTGGTGGGAACCAGATCCAAGACATGCAGAGTTGATCATCAAGTGGTTAGGCACTGGTCAACCAGGCAAGGTCAAAACACCTTTGGCCAAGCCAAGTCAAGAGGAACTCCAACATGAAGAAGTTCCGCTGAGCGCCGAAGATGCAACGATGTATAGATCTATTGCTATGAGAGCCGCGTATTTGGCACAGGATCGACCTGATCTGCAAACTGCAACGCGCTCATTGGCACAAGGTCTACAGAACCCAACATCGAGGCACTGGAATATGCTGAAACGATTGGCTCGATATGTCAGGTATCGACCAAGAGTTGCGCAGTTGTTTCCAAACCAAAGCACCTGCAACCCCTTCAACATGTGGTCAGACGCCGACCATGCAGGTTGCATAAGGACACGAAAGAGTGTGTCAGGAGGCGTGCTCATGGCCAACAAATGCTGTCTTACAACATACAGCAAAGGCCAAGGAGTTGTCTCCCTGAGCAGTGGCGAATCCGAGTACTACGGACTTGTTTCTGGAGCATGTCAAATGCTTGGAATCGCACCAACAGCAAGAGACTGGGGATTGTTTCCCAGCAAAGAGGTGACAATGGACGCTTCCGCTGGCATCGCCATGGGAAACCGTCGAGGTTTGGGACGAGCTAAACATGTTGACACTCAGTACCACTGTGTACAAGAGCGCACAGCAAAGAAAGAGTTTCGTCTCAAGAAAGAAGGCACCGACCGAATGTTGGCCGATGTGCTAACGAAAGCTGTCACCGAAGAGAAAATGACTACAGCCATGAAAGGCATGAACTTCCACTACCTGGAAGGTGAGCATGAGCTGACTTTGAAAGCGTGAACGGCTTGAGCTAGAGTAGGTACTTCTTCAAGACCAAGATGTACTGAAGGGCTACGAGCTAATTCACCGAAGTGCTAATCCTGACTCGCTTAACTTCTGGGAGATGTTAAACTCGGGAGGCGTGATCAGATGTAGCACCAGTTACATGTACATGACATAGCTTGTATAGATGTATGTTTCACTGCAGCCGTTTGTGGTTTACTTTTGTGTTCATTTCACCGCCAGAGCTCAGTCAAGCGTGAGCTAAAAGTGTGCCTAAGCTTCAACTACAACCTTTGGGACTGTGACCCTAAGTCACTGAGTTTAAGAGCCTAAATTCTCCGTTCAATATTTGCAATATATCATTCGAATTCTAGATCTTCTGCCCATTCTGACTCAAATCCTGAGACTACATCGCAACTTGAGAGAGTCCAGTGCATTTTTTTGGAAGTTGCAGCAACCGACACGGACCGACGGTGTTTGCGAACAAGATCTTCGATGAGACGTCGTCCACACATGTCCAGCCAAAAAAAGGCCTGTCTCTTCCTCTGTGTGGAGTGTGTATTCAAATATGAAGAACCCCTATGGAAGAAGGAAACTAGAGCAAGACCCACTAGTTGGTTGGAGACCTCCCTGTTCAAATACCCATCGCACACACCACGACCTGTGGGTGTTTCAATTGGGCTGTGCGTCAGGAGCATCATCTCCACGACCTGTGTCCTTGTCAGCAGGGGGTGAGGGCCGACACGATGGATGCTGATGTGGAGGAAGATCGGGAAGTCTGCTCAGCCTGCGCCATCAGCTGAGTTTCAAGTGCAAGGGCTTGCGCCCTTGTGATCGTGAAGTGAAGTAGGTCACTTGGGTTGAACTGCAGTGTTGGTAGAGAACGACGGCTGCGCAGAGCTCGCAGCGGCCCGCTCTGCTCATCCGTGATCCGGAGAGATCCCAAGGTGACGGATTGGGGAATGCCGGGGCGCTCCACAAGCGAGATAACAAGGACGCTACGAACGGAACTTCAGGGCATCGCGACTCGAACGGGGGAAGGACGCTACGATCGTAGCTCCTGGCCTTACTAGTAACAAGAACGCTACTATAGTAACTAGAAGCTAGTAGGTTGGAGGCGGGCGCTCCACAAGCTCAGAACATCCAGATTTGGGGGACGCGCCAAACGATGTCACGAGCCTCCGTTGGTTCTTCGGTTCTGGGGATTTCGGGGGTTGGTCACTCAACCTTGGGTGGCTTCGGATGCGGCTGTGTGATTTGAAGATCCATTGTTCTGTAAAGAAATAGGGCGCCCTCACAACGCTGAATCTGTAAAAATCACCTGATTCGGATTCTTTGAGGCAGGAATCCAGGTTGATGTGTGAAACCTCAGTATTCGGGGTTTGGGCTCGGGATTCAGTATTCGGATGTATTCGATTTATACAGGTGTTCGGAAGCAAAACCAATCTCCGCCCCTTGCTCCCCTTTCCGGACTGGGCTGATCTCCGGATGCGGCTTCTCTACTGCTCAGAATAGATATTTGCAGGAGTGTGGCCAGAAAGTGAGCCTGTGATTCCTCAAAGTATTTGACTCAGGACCCTGAACCATTTCTGGCCAGTACTCATCTATATAAATACATACCTGTCCTATTTTTTGGATCCAACATGGCCTTTTAAGATCGGGTCATGTGACCATCGCGCGCGCGGAACTCCGTCTCTGACTCCAACCGAGCTTCGTGACGACGGTTCGCGCCGTCGCGGGAAAGCGTGACATTGGAAGGCGCCGGTCGACTGGCTGTTGGATGGGCGTTTGGAGTGGCCAGCCAGGGAATGGCCGGTTTGAAGCCTCACCTGGCGAACTGTAGATCAGTTGGCCCAGTAGCTCAGGAAAGCGAGCTTCCAAGCGATGTGGCGAGCACCAGGTCGATTGTGCTGGTCGAACATGACCAGATCCTTTCGGCCAGGTGTCTCAAACGCACGAAGTCATGGGGGTTGGAGGGCGAAACCGAGAAACCGCTGAAGAGAAGAAGTTTGCAGGGCGACCATTTGTGGTTTGCCTGGTTTAAAAGGTTTTAACTTGGAGCGTTCCAGTGGACAGCGCCGAGATTCATGTGCTGTACAGCTCTTCTAATTCAAAGATGGAACGGCATAGCATGTGCCGTTCCGGTCGTGCAATTGTTTAATCTCTTCCAATGCGGTAGATCAGCTGGGGCCTCCAGTCGGCTCTGACCTCCAAAACCACTTCTCTCCCATCGCTTGGACAGAAATACACCCCGCTACAGGGATCCCACCGACGGACCGATGGTCCTTTTCTGTTTTGATCGACAGATCGCGGTCTGACCTACTCTCTCGCGGTCTCTGACGTCGCTGAGTACTCACAGAGGCCTTGAAGGCTGTGAAGTTGCAGTTGTCTCGAGCCTGAGAAACAAATCACAACCGTTGGAACACCCTTTTCGATTCTTGTTTATCTTTTCTGGCAAATAGTGCGTGTGAATGGTGCTGCCTGTCGACAGGTGTGAAGCTTGACATCTGCACATGCAATAAAGCGGGGTTTGGGTTGGATTAGCAGCGTGTCAAAGACATGCATGCGTCCAGTGCCTTTTGTCCATGACCGCGAAAAAACAATCCTGCGGCGATCTGCGGCATGTGCATGCCGGATCAGTTTCTTGCGGAGCCCCAAGAGAGTCATACAAAGTTGAACCGGAGTGAAACTATTTGATGCACCAAGTCTGCACTCGTCTGTTGGGAAGATTTGGTAGTTCAAGGTTGGAGGCCATCGTCATGCGACACCGGTGTTCTGTGCCGTTTGAAAACGTCACACCGTGGGATGAATCGATCAGCGAGAGGAGACTTCGACCGGCCCCGGTCCGGCCAACCGAGCTACGCGCCCGGGCCGCGACGCGACGCACGTCGGGCTGCGACTCTTGGCCGAAACGATCCTCGCCTCCTGTCGCCCGACCCGCGGGATTAGGAAGGACCCCAACAGGGAGCTCCGCGTACACCAAGCAAACAAAGAAGGCGGACCCCAACAGGCCGAAGGGAGGAGCCCAACAGGCTCCCCAACGAATCATTGCAACATGAGAAAAGACTGGATGACCACTCATATGCCAAGACCTCCTTTGCTTGGTTTGATGCGCCTTGCTTTTGCCTCGCAGGGGACTCCTCCTGGTGCAGCCAGTGTGCACCTCCAAATCCGATGCTGGCCAGAACGAGGCGCTGTAGAAGTCGAAGAACGTGGTGTGGTGTCGAATCACTTGTTATTGGCTTGCAATGAAACCCCCTTTGCTTCCCGACCTCAGTTGGATTGACCTCACAGACGTCGGCTGCCGACGGAACCGTGGCTCCGAAACGGCCGTGCCGTCGGACGCCAGGGAGTTCGGCGCTGACGCTGCATGGCGACTGAGGAACGGTCGGTGCGGACTGGGTCGGTTGGAGTTGGGGAATGGTCGGTTGGGGGAGATGCGGAGACGAGATCACCCATGACCCATGCTGTCGCTGCAGCTTGACAGAAAGAAAAACACGGGTAGAAAGCGCCTCAACATCTATGGAAAGGACGACCCCCAGAATGGAAAGAGGAAGAGGGCTACTGTAATCTCCCCTGACCATCCCCCCAACATGTCCCTTGGTTGCAGACTTGCTCCATCGCTGAGAAATTCGAAGAAAGAGAAGAGAGAGAAGAAAGAGGAACCAGGAGTCACAGAGCTCGGGGTGGTGTGCCTCGTCCCATCGCTAGTGGATCTTCATCGGCACCCAACTCCGACCTTGGATCGCACCCCGTCGAAGCCACTGCCGCGGCCCCATAGTCCTAGCCTCGAGACCGCGTGGTCCGGGCATGCTCGGTGCGGCCCTTGCCCGGTCGAGGTTGGGGGCGCGGAAACACCACCAGGGCGTGGCGGAACGACCTAAGGAGGACAGTAGATAGACTTCCAAAAGGATTTTTTGGGGCACTGAAGTTTACAGGACATTCCTGTTTGGGTGTGTATCAAGGGTCTCCTCCCAGGCAACGACCCCCCCGCAACCAAAAATAGAAACACCAACAGTCGACTTGTTGTGCCAGGGGTCTCACAATTGAAACACACACAAGATCATGCGATCGATGCGATCGATGGTTTCTGAGCCTGCGACCCCCCCGAACATGTCACTTGCGGCTCCCAAAGGTCAAGAGCCAGCCGTTTCCTGCCGGTTCGACGAAACACGCCAATGAGATATGAAACTTATACTGACATGTGAGATCATGTGAGCCGTTTCTTATCTGATCTGCAGGTGCGGGTCAAAACGAACCCAGACCCACGACCCAGGGCAATCATGGGGCGGCTACACACTTCCAATGGCCCGGGTTTTTGTTCCATCCTGACAGTTCCTTCTCTTCCAGGGTGAAGGGATTCAGACCTTTCCAGCCGAGCTCGGGTCCTTGAGCTCGAGACCACACCAGGCGGAGCCATGCCGAGCAAGAACGTGGCGGAGTCTTCACCATCTTCACCACCCTTCCTGGTGGTGGCGGGTGCGGGATATGGTGCGGTGAACGGCCGCTACGCGCAAGAGGGGGTCTGTGAAGGAAGGCCCAAGTTTAAAAAGCTGAATGGTGAGTTCACCGTGATTTTCAAGTGGGGCCAGTGCCTTGGCGTCGCCGCAGCACGCAGCTGGTTGTGTTGCCTTTTGTTTCAGCGCAGCGGAGGTTCGACGATGTTCGGTTTTGGAGCACTCCATGAATCCGTGAACACGTCGAGGTTCTAGGCCACTCGTGGCGGTCTCACCCTGTCCCTTTTAATCCCAGCCATGGACTCCAGAAGGTCTGAGGAAGAGCCGGGCTTCCCCAGAAGGTCTCCCCTCCCCTCCTAGGAGACTCTCCAGGTCTTGTTGATTTTGGAGGAAAACCTCCGCACCAAGTTCTGGTCCCCTTCTCTTCCGACTCAGTGGAACAGACAGCGCATCTGGGGGGTCAAAGGAAGTTCAACGAAGTCAGCCTTTCAGGGTTAGCTTTGGAGTGTCCTGTACACCCCCAGACGCAGGACTCGCCTCGCGGCCTCGCCTCCCTCGACCCCCCCCAAAAAAACACCATTACAGCGGCATAGACCCCAGATAGCGGGTGGTTTAGGCAGGAAAGGACCCGCCACGGCACACGGAACACCATCGCCTCACCCATCACCGCACCGGGCCCACATGCCAAACGACCCAACGGTTTTCAGCCATTCAGGTGGAAGTTGGGCTGCGAAGACGACTCCAACGTTTGGATCTACGAGGGTCCGACCAGCCGCAGTCCGGTGGGCGCCTCCGGCTGGGCCTGCGCCGCGAATTCCAAGTACCATCCGGCGCCCACGTTGTCCTTTGGCACCTGCCGTGATCTCCAAGAAGGGGATGTGGTCACCATCATCAAGCTCAATGAGGAGGTGGAAGTGGAAGCCACAGACTGCAACGTGATGCTGGAACTGGAACAACAGCGTGTAATTCACACCAATAAAAAAAAACTCAGATACTCAATGTATTAACACCATGTCTTGATGTGAAACTCAGATACTCAGATTCAGATAACCACAGTTTCTTGAGGTTTCTTCCAATTCGTCTCCATTCAGTTGAAGGTCTGCGCCCTGCCAGGTCGACTGGTCCGGATGTCCCGAAGCCATTCACGGAAGGAGGCTCAGTCTGACCAGTACACCCTGGACGGTGACCATCCACCGGCTTCGAAGACTACGAGGGAACTGGTTTTACCCCACGGAGTCTCCTGAGAAGGTCGCACCTTTGGCAGCTTTGGGCTTGGTGAACTTGATGGGAAAGCCCCATCGCATCACTGAGGTTAAGGAGGATTCAGCTGCATGTGGATCAGGAGAGCAAGCTGGAGAGGTGTTTTTTGTTGGCATGAGCTGAACAAATGCGGGGAGCAGCCAGAATGGAGAATGAATCACTTAGATTTTGGTGAGAGATTATTCAATATGTTTCACAGCAGTTCCCCCTCAAAACCAGATGATATATATGTATATATACTGCCAAAGCGATCCGACTGCTTTGCGGGGGACTCCGTTTTTGGAAAGAACACTATGGCGAAGCCCCAGCAAGCAGCGGTCCCCGGGTACTCGGGTACGTCCCTGGTCTCCTAAGCGGGCGGATGTTCGCCTCTCACCAGGTTTCAGCACTCCCCTTCTCACTCCCAACAACAAAACAACAGGGAGGCTCATGCAACCTGAAAGAGACACACTTCTCCAGTGTTGCTTAATTTCTCTCTCTCTCTCTCTCTCCCTCCCTCCCTCATTGTCGGGGTTTTCGTAGGATGTCTTTTTGAATCGTTCTCTCAAAACACGTCATAGACCTGTCTTCAGCATGCTCCGTCGCTAATCGGTACATGAACAAACAGATGAGGCCGTGACAGTTCTGCTACTCTGCCTGGGTTCGTTTGGGTGAGTTCACATCGAAAGGAGAAGGTGACTCCTTAAAGCCCTTCCTTGTGGTCGCTGGAGCTGGCTACGAGGTTCTCAATGGCCGCTACGTGCCGGAGGGAACCTTCTCGGGGAAGGCAAAGTACAAGCAGGCACCGTAGTTTTCAACATTTCACCGTGGCTGAGGGTTTAATGACACGCGTGCATCCCTCTGTGCAGGGGTTCTAAAGTGGTTGGGTGATCATTGCGATACGACTTTGGGTGTGTTTGATCTTGGGTCAACCAAGAAAACATATCCAAACCAGTAAGGGAGGGGGGGGTGTATTTAAGAGGGTATAGACTTCATCTACCACTCTGCCCCACCTCTTCACCAGTGTAGCCGGGGCATTGAACACTTTGCAGGTGGATGGCAATTCGATCATCTTCTTCATGGCCGGCAAGTGGAGATTGAACGACGAGGAGGTCACCGACGAGCGCTGCTACGACGCCGCCGAGTCCGCGGGACACGGCGTGGGACACGGCGACACGCCGCCGCTGGGCGCGTGGGTTCAAATCAATAACCGCTACGGTCCAGCGCCCATGCTGTCGCTGGGCACCTACCGCGACCTCCAGGAAGGTGACTCCGTGGTGCTCGACAAGAACTCCCGCTCGATGGATTGGTCTCAATGCCCTGAAACCAACGAAGGTCCGGTGAAACGGAGAGTGGGTCTACTGTGGACGGTCTACTGTAGAACGTTGTTCTCATCCGTCACATGCGCCATCTCAGAGTCAGCCCGAAATGAAGGACAAACTCAGGCCGTTGATTAGGAATGTATGAATTAAACACATACAGTCACGTCAGTGTTTGAGAATCCTTATGGGATCAATGCCCAAACCAACGACTCTCGTCATCTCCGCATCAACCTTGTGCAGTGATCGACCTTGTTCAACATCTCTGCCGCATGTGAGGCAACCATTTAAGTTTCAAGCCGCCCTTGCCGGTGAAAATCCATCGACTCCTGGGCAGTTGGTTCTATCCCCTGGAGTTTCCAACCTTGGTGGCGCCGCTCTCAGCCTTGGGAGCGGTGAAGTTCCGAGGGCAGGCGTATCGGGTCTCCGAAGTGCACGAGAACTGCGCATCGATCTTGGGATCCATCTTGGGATGCTCGGCTGCCTTCGTGAACATCGGTGCTTTTTGAGCTAGCCCTTCGCCCAAAGTGGGGCGCCTGAGTCTTTGGGGCAAACTTGACGCTCCGTCTACTTGGAGAGAACTGTACAGTGCTGTTGCGGAGCTTTCCTTTTGGCTTTGTTTTTGGGGGACCCAACGGCTTAACCGTTGCATGCCGGGCGGAGGAGAGATGTTAGGGCTTAGGAGGGTCACGGTCACGGTCAGGTTCCGACTCGGCAAGCCACAGAGATGGGACGAAACAGGTGAGTCAAAACCTGGAGATCCACCCACCCCCTACCAGGGGCCCCACAAACCATCAAAACACCGGGTTTTCCCTAGCAAAGCACCTGGGTTTTTGGTATGTGAACACCTGGTTTTTTCATGGTTTGCTTGGCCCTCCCTAGTCGGTTGCTCCCGCGCCAAACGCGCTTCCAGCGTTCGGGTATTGACCCACCGACCGGGACGACGAGTTGGGGGAAGGCCAGGAGCCCCAGCCCTCCGAAATGAATCCATGGCTACACTAGACTGGCCACCAGTGACATGGGGTTTGTCAGTCTCGTCAAGTCCTAAGTCCTGGGAGTCATTGGTCCCCAGTGTAATTGAACATGAATCCATGAGTGGACAAGTACCAGTTTGGTCTTCGGATTTCATTTTCTCATCCCATTTCACCATCCACGAAACCACCGACTTCAGGAGAGGACACGGCTCCGATCCCGTTTCTGGTGGTCCGGGGAGCTGGCCATGCACCCGTGAATGGCCGATATGCATATGTCGCGGTGGAAGCAGACAGACCGAAGTACAAACAAGTTGGCGGCAACTCGATCATCTACTTTTCCTCGGGCGTGTGGAGATTGAATGATGAGGAGAACAT